ATATTTGCTGTTAAGACTCCATTTCAAGTCAAAATCCCTTGGTGTTAGATTAAAGAACAAGACGGGTTGATATTATAAGTAAAAGCGTCTGGTGGAAGACAAAGATTTGTTTATTTCGTATCGCAATCTATGTTATAGGTTTGACAAGTAAAATCCATCTGTTAGTCCAACATAAGGCAGAGACAATATCTGTTTAATTGTCAAGCCGATCTCAAATATATCTCAAAGACCCAATCTGAAACTATGTAAGACGTTTCTGTCTTTTTTCAGCAAGTTAAATAAAACCTCAATAGTATATTCTTACAAATATCGTTGGATAATCATTTTGAATACTATTCCTGAGTTGTCCTTTTACATTAATACATTAAAACAAGTAATAACATATTATTTGGTCTGATATATGTGTCTTTGGGATTATGGTTTTACAGCTTTCTGTGTGAGGTCTGAACTGGAACATTTCTTATCTGATGTTTAAATTGCAGGAGACTTAAATGAGGTCATGAGGTGTGCAAAAATCGCAACAACATAAAAGTAAATTGACTCGTTCTAAATTTTTTGACTTCTATAAAAGTTGCATTTTCCCGAAAAGTTTCTTTCTCTATGATACTATCCTTATAAAAATGTATTTGACGAGTTTCGTTTTTCCATGTTTTCGTACTTTTTGAGTCCCCTGTATCGAATCTGTTCATATTGTGTAATTATATTTTGAATAGTTTATTTTTCACTCGATACTGACATTTAGACTGAATGCAATGTCACAGACATAACTAATTCGATTTTGAATTGTATAGACACTAATGGTATCCTCGACCCGTACTTTAAATATGATTGTGAACAATATTGACTATATATTGCTAAATGAAGATTTCATTGGAAAAAGATACTTCTGTTGAGAAATGTATACAGTGTTAAATGAAAATTCCACTGAACAAGATATTTTCCTCGTTGAAATCAATTCACGCTTTTTTGTTAGTCACACTTAACAGTGTTATGCTTTTTAAAAATGGATAAGGTCAAAACGTTTTATCATGCTATATTGAAGTGTTTTTTATGTTATGTTGAATATTACACAAATTCGGTGTCGTCGACTCTAGTCGTTTCATGTAGTGTAACTATAGACAATATATATATATATCTATAACTTAGAATACTATCGATAAATCCTTTAGCATTATATGGTACATTTACAACCTGTTATTCAATTTATGAAATCGATCATCTAATGTTTGTTATACCGTCAACAAATACGAGATTATAGCTTGTAATTGTGATATTGCATTTTTTAAAAATGATGGCAATTCACTTTTATTATTACTTTGATGATCTAATTAAATATGTGTGCTTTTACTGCATGTTTAGTTTAATCGTGGAAAACATATAAAGCTGATGTTTGCGAATTCCGTCATGTTTTATACCTTTTGTACACGTTTTGAATGGTAAGGCAAGATTAAAGGGAAATAGGTATCGGCTAATCATTCATTTAATTCATATAAAGGAATTTCCACTTACTTTGATCCCTTTTGGTCACAATTCAAACTGACAAATTAAAGTCTCTTACGACTGCCAAATCAAGATACCTTAAAATCCCGACAATACGACGCCGCTTATTTTCTTTAATAGTAAACAAATGCAGATTCATTTATGTAAGAAAAACAAGGTTTATTTTCAGCTCAGTTTTGAGGTCAGCTTGTTTTTTCTGTTTTTAGAGTATTAGGTTTAATATGTACGAACGGTTTTGGTTTGTTGTTGGTGATTCTGTTACTTGCTGAGTTCTTAAAAATAAAGTCAAGTTTTATAAGGGAGAACAACACGGGATATATGTTAATATCAAACCATTTCGTGAAATCATTATAAGATAATATGTACGGGCCTGTTTGTATTTTGGAAAAGAGAGTTTTCATCGTCAAACGTTCGTCCATGAATTAACATAAAATTAGGCTTCATGTGAAATACTACGGTATTTGATATAGTACCCGCTATCGTATTTGATGCTTTGCAGAGATAAGAACATACGGCTTCTAAAGCTGTATACAAACACCATTTGCATTTAAACAAATCTACTGATAAAACAATTGATAGAAAATGTCACCTAGTGATTTATACATTTAGAATGACTGTTCAAACAGAAAGCCATTCGATGTTCTTCATTTGCATATGTTTCTCATTACCGATGTTCTGAACAATGTTTCGGAAAAGTTACAATGTAAACATGTACTTTATGTCGTTAGAAATAACGCCTGTTCTCAGACAATTTAATTTTGCATATTGGTTTAAAATATTATAAACCATTATAATATACCAGTTATGTTGTGTGTATTTTCAGAAATGTATAATGTAATATATATGGAATACAAACTTTTGTTTGCGTGGAGCCATGAATATCACTTCACGACTTTCTCGACTTTGTCAGTTGGCACCCTAGATATTGAGTAGAATTCTAGAACAGGATCGCACAGAATGACAAAATGATTTTGTTCATCATCTGATGTTTTGCTGTATTTCTTAATAAATATCTCTATTCGTTACTAGTTTCTTCTTACTTTTGATGGCATTTTGTCCTCAGATTTTTATAGTGTGGACTACAAACACCTGTTTGTACATTTAACAACAATGGGTTTTACCATTATAATCACCGATGCTGCAATTTTATAACAGAAAATACAAGACCTTAAAAATTATATAATAATAATATATATATATGAAATCTATATATTTCATATTTTACCACAGACGGCAATTTTTATAAAATAAGAACTAGAAATCGTGAACCATTTCCTTTGAATTATCTTTTATTCCAAATTGATCGTACGGTGACGCTTTACGATTGGCAGTATAGCTACCGAAATCGACAATGAAAAAATGGCATATATAACATGAGAAATGAACGGACACATGTTCATTATGAAAGTAGAAGGTCATGAAATTTAAGTATCTTCAAATGAGTCATTTAATATAAATAATATCTAGGATAGTAAGTTTTCAAATAAACAATTAGGCAGTAAGTTCCTATGAATTACAATTAAATGTGAAACTAAATTAAACTCTATGCTATGGTTTCATTAAATTCATATACATTTTAGTCGTAAACAATTTCTGAAAGGTAAGATGTTTCCTATATCAAGCAAGTCAAAATAATTGAACGTTAAACAGAATTTACGGATTTTTCAATAAAAAAATGTGAAAAAATTCATGAAACTCATATCTGGTTCAAAAATAATTTCCTAAGTTTGACTGAATATTGAACTCAAGAAAGTTAGACTTATGTAGTTGCACCATATATTGTATATTTGTCCATGCTTTGCATTATTCAGTCTTAACTAATAAAATGTTTGAATGCTCATGATGATGTTATTTATAAATATAGTATCGTAAAGCTGTTCTGAATGATAGAAACATATTATAGAAACACATATACATAAAACATGTAGAAAATTCAGCATTTTATTATTTAGGTTGTTGCATAACAACTTCAGATAAAATAAGATACAAATAAATAGAACAGTTCTCTCTAAATCCTTTCTGAAATATTCATCTCCAGATTTGTTGCCATCTTAATCATCTGTAAAAAGTTCAGGGAAATGTCGACCTGCAAAGTGTTTCCCTTAGTTTGATTGTAGAAGTATATCAATTCAGTCACTAAACAATATATATATATATATTCATATATTTATAATTTTTGTACGTTGAAAATGTAAAATAAGACCAACACTATTTCAACTATGACGACATAAATAACGAAACAGACACAGATACGATTGGAATTGTGGCTAAATAAAATTTTCTCATATCAACGGAAAATATTTATCGCCTATTGATACAATTAATTACATAAATACACAGTTATGATTTATAAGTATTCAATATGTATTACGTAATACTCGTACATTTGTTACGTAAAACACACATATCTATTACGTAATTCACATCTGTCCTCGTCATTACCCTGATAAGAAAACCGAGGTTATATAAAATATTTACATTTTCAGTAGTTAATTTCGAAATTGATCAAAGGGACACATTTTGTATATAAGATTGAATTTACGTGCGTTTTAATTTGAAGTATTTTGTCGTGTTATATCTTTATGTTCTGCAGTGATGTTAAATTAAGATGATGTTCATTTCAAAATTAAAATGTTATTTTCGTGTCATTAGTATGTTATTATAACAAAATGTGTCCTTTTAATGAGGTTACAATGAACAACTCACATCCAACATAATGAGCACTACAATATCTGGATTTTCATTTACAAAATTCCACCCATACATATCACACTATTTCAAAACGCCTACACACAGTTTCTCACATTCGTTTCTCTGCATTTATTCCATGCTATTTACTTTCTCGTTCATATTGACTTGAATACTACATACTTTATGTCAAAATACTGAATAATCTGCAGATCGAGCCACATACCCTGATTGTACTAATCATATCCTTATGATTGACAATGAACATATCTGCTTGTAGCAGTCTTTCCCTGATATTCATAATAGGAGAATATTTAAAATTCTATTATGAATCATTATTAAACTTAAAGGTGAAATCATGTATCTTAAAAGCAAACAAATAGACTTAAATATATAAAACCTAGCTACAAATAGTTCGCTTTTAATCAAGTTAAGCTGATGTTATTCATTTTTCTACAATCTTTTTGTCCGTTTGAAATAACACTAAAATAGCTGATTGGACAAGTCCAAAAGCATATGTATCCGTTAATTATCTGGATACTAATTTAGTGTGTTTGCGGTTGACACCACCATTTACACTCTCTGAACTGAACCCGGGATAGCTCTTCAGAATAGGATATCTGGTACATATCCAATGTGGATATCGCCTGTTTCTTTGAGGAGCAAGTGCTTGGGCCTTCACCAGCTTGATCTGCGTGACGACATCATCATATTATTATTGACGTAACTTATGACGCTACCTTGATCACGTCAACTGTTGTGTCAGTAAACGATATGTCACATTGTTTATAGAGTCTGAGTATACTACATATTCACAAGGTCCCTTTATGTTCCCGCTCTTGTGAAACTTTTTCCAGTGCGTTACAGAAGTTCATGTTTTTGGCTATATGAGAGAGTTTGTGATCTTTTTTCCATTTCATTCTTCGATTCTGGAACCAAATCTTTATTTGCCTTTCTGTGAGATTCAGCGCATGCGCAATTTCAATTCGTCTGCGTCTTGTGAGGTATTTGTTATAATGGAATTCTTTCTCCAATTCAAGAGTCTGGTGCCGTGTATATGATGTTCTTGATCTTTTCGATTCGCCATCTGCAGTTTCTGAAAGATATAAATTGTTTCCGAAAATGAAATATTGCATTGAAATCTCACTTTAGTCACCGACCTCTCTCTTCTAAAAAATACAATACATGAATAATATCACAATTAAAGTGAAATGTAAACAAATCGAGAACATTAGATAACGTAATCATGATGAATATTAATAGTTTTATTAGCAGATCAAACGTAGCGAGAGACAGCCGTTATGTATGTTTGAGAGGACTAAAATCTATTTAAGGATATGTTGTACTTTTCATGTTTTTTCTTGTTTCTTTATTTATAATGGCGTTGCATGTACCTTTATTCTAGCCTGAGGTTGTTTACGAATTGTGTAGTTGCCGTACAAACAAGACTGACAAGTTTGTTATCTAAATTTGTATTAAAGGGCGCTATTCAGTTGTCTGGCTTTTGTGCATTCTTTGTCTATTAAAACGATTAATAGAACATCCAGAATCCAGAAATAATGTTTTCAATATCTTAAGTCTGATGATTATTGATAAGGATAATTTTACAATTTACATCTTTGTGTTTGACAGGTAGTACGAGCATTTGCTATAAATAGCTAAATATAGTATACGCATATCTGGAATCTATTTATAAACATATGTCTAGTTTATCTCAATTGTATGACAATATTATCGTTCGAGTCATCAAATCGTCATATCATGGAAGTTTACAACAGGTATTTCTGTCCGCTCATCAAATAGTAGAATTTTACTATGTTTGATATAATAACAGATGATGGATAGCGAATCATACAATCCGATTTTCCTATTCACGCATCAAGTCTCGCGGCACCGAGATCTCGTCAAAACGACAGCTCGACTGACAAGGCGCCAACTTTTGTAACAGGTTTACGACCCTGCCATGTTGATTGTGATGTGCTCTGGCGGGCCAGACAACAATAGAAGACAATTAATAAGATCAAAGACTGTTTCCTGTGTTCCATGTTCGTTATCATAACACGTCAAGCTGTTTCGATGGAATACCTAATATAAATATATACATTTAAAAAAAACTTCCATATCTCTCGTCATCCTAGTAACACCTTAAGGAGCTTTCAATCTGGGACAGTGGCTGTCACAATGGTCTCGCATTTTGACGTTTATTGTTCTTCATACAACGTTCTGTATCGCCAAGGTGTGATGTTATGGTATCTAGATACTTTTATGACAGCATAAAAAATCTCTGAATGCTTAATCGATACAGAATATATAGAAGTGTGAAGGCGAATCGCCACGCGTTACAAGGCGATAACAGATTTCGCTGTGTTGCCTCTCGAGCTGTGCAACAGCTTTACATGTGTGATTCACATCAAGATAAATGCATTACGCCGTGTAACAATATAACAAGATGTATGCATAGTTTTACATTGTTGCATCATATGAAATATGTATTGTCTAAGAAACGCTATACATCATCAGAAAAATTATATAAAAAAACTTAAATATACAGACTCGATTACACGCATTGTAATCTCATAATCGTATTGTTATGTGATAAATTACTTTACGGTAATATAAATTGCACTTTGTTCTTTCCCCTCGTGATTGTCTTGCACTGATTGAAGATATGCCTAAAAGTTCACTTATAAAAAGATTCAAGGGAGGTAACTTAAATTTTGATAATAATCATTACTTTAATCAGTTGTATCAAAACTGTAGTCTGCACAAAATGATAAATATATAAACGATTAACAGTGCTTTTGTTTTCATTTCTTTAAGTTTGCCAATAAGTTCACCTTGCGATATTCAAGATATTCAATTTAACACCCACTCAAGTTTTAATAGTGGATGAGAACCACTCAATGAATACTAATAGTCGGCCGGAACGAATTATTGTCAAAGGCAACTTCACGATCGTTTTCCGAATTATTGAGAACATAAAAGGTGTTATTTTGATAAATGTGAACAACGTAAACACTACCTCACTATCCATCTTTTTTCCAATGAAAGTCAACCTGATGTCTGTTGTAGCAACACCTTATTAAGACAGTATGTCAAAAGATAATTTAACATACATGGCGGTGTCTGCTGTGAGGTTCTACAGCATTACACAAATAGTATTCCATCTATGTTAACCTTAAACACCTTAAACACCGCGATATTCACTATTAAATGTTTTACATTTTGTGTATAACGAACGCCTACTACCTATATCAGTAATGCATACAGAGTTCAAATCAGGGGTATTGGACATCAGATTTCACAGCATAAGTCGTCTCGGAAAGAGCCGCGTACTCTGAATAAAGTATAATTAAAAATCTGGTAAGTATATCTGATTGTTTTGCAGACGTATAGATGTATAACATTTTCAATATTGAATCGGATTTAAACCGTGAATAATTTTATACATTTGTCGGGTGGTCGGATGGCGCGGTGGCGCAACGGTAACGCACTCGCCTTTCCGCTTGCAGCCCGGAGTTCGATTCCTGCCCGACCACGTTGGTTAACCACGGGTATTCCATTTTCCTCACACAATAAGAGGCGCGCTAACATCCGGGCCACCAAGAACTATAGGTATAAGCTGCAACAACTTGTTTCGCAACTGTTATAAGATAAAACTTATATATTTTCACTTTTCAAATGACGTCAAAATTCTTATGACGTTATGACGAGAAACATTAACTTTGAGGAAGACATATTGAGACTGTGTTGGTAAATATATATATGTATTTATTTTTTTTTAAACAATTGCGGTTTATGCTTACTTAACCAAATCAATCAGCACGCAGTATCGGTGGATACATTTATTGTTAAGGGATAGTCTTATTAACTTCATAAGAAACAGCTGTTTCGAAATCATCCTGTCTCTGGTTAAAAATCAAAGTTATGGCTTTGATCTAGCTTGACACAGATAAACACATCTGCTTCTCCCAGATATAATCATATTGTCTTCTGTATAATGCAAAATAGAGACACTGACCTAACTTAACATATATTCTGATCATAATGACCGAAATCCTCAGCAGATGCTATCATAATCTCCCGTTGAGACGACGAGCTTATATATGAAATAAAGAGATTAGTTTTTTTTCTAGTCAGAGTGACATACTTGTTTGACAACTTTATAGAAATGCATTAAACAAACTTATATTTTATAATTTCACGTGGAATAACACACTGGGCGCCTCAGAAGTAGAACTGACCTGGTTAGACACGCTGGTGTTTTTGAATCATGGCTATTATTTCATATTAAGCAAATTTAAACCGTTATCTTTAGTATATACAATATTCTGTAGAAGAAATATCGAATGTACTAACGTACACTTGAAATATAATTTGTTTCCAGCACGTAATAGTTACATGACTACATGGAGGCGTAACAGCCATATAAATATCAAAATTGTACAAAAGATTCACAAGCGAATGACAACTTTTCAATACAAATTTAGAATACAAAAATATTAATACAACTGCATCATACACATTTTTCGTCCTTCTAGGACTCTTCAATAACGTTCCTATAATTTTATTAAAACTTAAGACCTTGGCAGTTATAAGTAGTTACTTATTTTCTACAACGAATATTTTTTAGTAGATGCAGTGTCGTCATCCTCTAGTCGTCTAATATCTGGTTATAGCCTACGAAATCAGGGGTGACAAAGTATTATAATGTATAATGAATGAAAACGCCTTTATAATAAAGTCATTGTAGAGTTGTCATATTTCTATGCATTTAAATAGTATCATATGATACCTTTGAACATTAATTTGATTACAAAGGATTCAAAAAGTGATTTTGGAATTTCGAAATCAAAAGAAAAATGAATTTTCAGGAGGTTTTAGCATTTTTCATCATTCAAGCATGTCAGGATATGGCCGAGATCAGGTTGACCCGACGTGAGCACATAGAGACCACATACAAATGCTAAAACCAACATCAGAAGTAGACAATAATTAATATAGTGAATATTTGAGGATAGAGCCGTCTTTCTCTATCCTGATAATTACAAGTATGGCTTGCGGAAGTCTGAGGATAATTTATCATTCAAATTATACTTCTAATTTACCCATGTCTTCATACACTATAACGACCAGATAAGTTGTAAGTAGACACACTAATATGTCGTAATTACAGGTAAGTTATGGTCGAACGTAACGCAGTCAGACAGTGTCAGGAGGCCAAGCTAGCGAGTTACCTAAAACTATTGTAGTGTATACTAGCTAAGTCAAGTTTGGTGGAAAGGTATAGGTTTGTTCTGCGTTGGAATAATTGTATCATGGGCAAGGATCAATCTGATAGGATGTATCAGTGTCCACATAGTAATAAAGAAGAATTAAATCCAGTCCATAAGTAGCAGTTTTCACAACAACAAAAATATAAACTGAGAAATGATACATCATAAAGTGTCATTCTATCATCATTTGTCGAATTGTCTTACACCAACGATACCACTTAAAGTGCCTGTTGTGACTGACTATATGAGACCAATTTTCAGTTTCAATGATTATTTGCTTTAGACGTGCCTCAGACCAGCACGAAACAAAACGATGAAACAGCCAAGGTTAAATGATAGGTTCTATATTACTTTGACTTTAGAACCTCAGGTGACATGATAGAAAGCACAGTCTCGCGTGCGACACTTGACTCAAGGGTCGTATTCGGTCGATTTTAATTGTATATATAATGAAATGTTTAGACGAACTACTCAGTGTATCGTTTCTAGTATTCACATCCTAAAAAAGAACAAGTATTCACCTTTTGGCCTTTGGGAATTTTCTTTGTGTATATCGTGAATTCGTGAAAAGTTATGTTAGTGAGAGACGCAGACAAACGTACTTGGTGATCTACAAGAAATATTTGGTTGTGTATTTACATGTCCTATACAGAGTATGTGCTGGGTATTATGTAAATACAAGACTTATTGTTTATGCATATCACGATATGTAACCATTTAGGATAAACTATATTTAAAATGTATATACACACGAAGTATGTCCACGGTAGGTACTTAAGTGCTTTGGAGAAACAACATTCTACAATACCAAGTCGTAATC